GGGGGGGGGGGGGGGGCGCTGAGGAGCGGGCAGGGCGGAGGGAGCGGCCGGGGCGAGGCCGCCGAGCGAAGGGGCCGGGCCTGCCTCGCTCGCTGCCGCCGCCGCCCGCCGGGTAAGAGCGGGGGCTCCTCTAGGCCGCGCGGGAGCCGCGGTCTCGCGTAGCGAGCGGGCGGCGCGGGGAGACGCCTCGGCTGGGTGGCGGCTCTACGCGAGGCCGGGGAGGATGGGGGGCGGCCGGGCCGCGGTGTGGAGCGGGGCGGCGGGCTGTACCGCGGGATGGGGGGAGCGGGCTTCCCCGGGCAGCAGCGGCCCTGTGACCCCCCCGCAGCGTGTGGCGGGGCGGGCTGCCGGGAACGGCCAGCCCTCCGTCGGCGCTGGGGTGTTTGAGGGGCTGCGGGGCGGGGAGGAGCCCGGGGCGTTTCGGCAGGTTTGAATCGAGTCCAGGCCGATGGGGACTGGAAATGACTACAGAAAAGAAAAAGCCTGTTTCCTTGTCGTGCTTTCGATGAGAGCTTCTTTGGGTATTTGCTGGTGTGAGCTGTAATTAAAAGGCCATGATTGTAGCTGGTGTTTAAAAATGAAGTAAAACTAGTTCAGGGTACAGTGCTCTCCTGTGTTTCCCTGTTTTCCTCCTTGCCTCAGCACCCGTAGTGAGAAATGATTGGATTAAAGCTAAAATACATCTGCATAAAGGAAAGTGAAACTAAATGTGCTTACTGGAAGGCAGTCAGATTGGGGAAATGAGATGAAATGCAACCTGTGTGCCTGTAACCTCAGTGGGCTGATGGCTGAGGAGTGTGGGTTCGAGGGGAAGGGTAAGGTGTTTAGGTTGGCTATACTTTGTCCTGCCTGCTTCCAAAGTTTCTCAGCCCTCTCAATTTTAATCCGATTTGTTTTTTTTTCCCCACACTGAACTGTTTTGTAACACTCAAGATCATTGTACTTGGCTTCTGAGGGAATGGGATGGTTTGGAGGCTGGTTAATAATGCTTGAGGGATTGCTTGCCTCTTGTGGTAACTTGGATGAAATCATTTTGCTTAAATGAACATCTTAGTTTCGAATAGATGGCTGGCTGATTTCTGGTTATTGAACCTGACTTCTGCCCTGTGTGGTTTGTGCTGAAGCCGATGGCAGCAGACTGGTTGGCTCTGTGCCGAGTATGCTCCCATTAGTCTGCCTCTGTCCCCTCAAAGCACAACACTTTGCACAGCTTCCTCCTTTAACGTCAAGCACGAGTTAGCATGGACCGCGAATGCCAGAAAGTCTCTTCTCGCTTTGGGTTTATCACTGTTTTTCCAGCAGGGAAAGCGAGGCGTAAGGATTTGCAGTGGCCTGGCAAGGGAGCTATAAAGCTGAGCACAGTGAAGGGGTTTTGCAAGCTGCTGTGAAACCTCTCAGTGGGGGTTCTTCAGCATAAGGTGCTGTTACTGGGGGTGCTAGTGGAGGGGCTTTCCCAGTATCACACTGGTTGTGGTGGAAGGGGTGTGAGGGTTAGCAGTTGTGAGTTAGGGGCACCCTCTCAATGCTTGTGGTTCCCTGTGCTGTGAGAGGTGTGGATAAACACTGCTGTGGTCAGATGAAAGATGTCTGGGCCCCTTGTTTAATCTGGACAGCTTGTGGTATGGTCTCTTTTGTGACTGAGAGAGATATTTAAATGTTTAGACCTACATAGGGAGCAGAGTACTCAGAGGTCAGTGAAGGGCCAAAGCAGCAGCCAACTCTTCTTTGCTTTCTATGTAAGCAGCACGAAGGGTGATTGAACCCATGAACCCTCTGATTGCCAAATTGCCTTATTCAGGATAGCCCTCGTTTATTTTCCACATGGGAATGTCATTCTGTGAAGCATTTAGGGCTCTCATTCTAGATTACAGAGATTAAGCAGGAGAAATTTTTATTTAAAAAAATCTTTGCTTATTTATATGCACTTGTGATTGGAGTGACATTGTTTCTTCTCCCCCGATTGTCCCCCAGGTTGTGAATCAATCCAAGAATGAACAATTGTAAGAAGCCTTATGTTTACCAGACTACTAACCTTGAAAAGTTCAGTCCTGAAATTCTTTCTGAAATTGAGAAGCTCTTTGCAAAGAAATTTACTTACACTAAGCCTGTGAATAATGAATGGCAGCTCCCAGATCCCAGTGACGCTTTTACCTGCGATCACAAGGAATTCAACTCGCTCCTGGCTCTGAAGGACTCGATGAATGAAGTGAAGAATCAACTGAGTGATAAGAACCTGGATGAATGGCATCAGCACACCTCGTTTACCAATAAAGCAGGGAAAATAATTCCCCACGTGAAGAAATCGGTGAACGCTGAGCTGTGCACCCAGGCCTGGTGCAAGTTTCATGAGATCCTGTGCAGTTTTCCTCTTCTGCCTGAAGAAGCTCTTCAGGATGGAGAACTGAATTCTGTCCACCTCTGCGAAGCACCTGGAGCTTTTATAGCCAGCCTCAATCACTACTTGAAATCCCACCATGTCCCCTGCGACTGGAATTGGGTTGCTAACACTCTAAACCCCTATCACGAAGCAAATGACACCCTGACGATGATCATGGATGACCGCCTTATAGCAAATACGTTGCCTTGGTGGTACTTTGGCCCAGATAACACGGGTGATGTGATGACGTTGAAACATCTAACAGGGCTTCAGAACTTTGTACGCAATATGGCCACAGTTCACTTGGTGACTGCTGATGGCAGCTTTGATTGCCAGGGAAACCCAGGTGAGCAGGAGGCTCTTGTCTCACCCCTTCATTACTGTGAAACAGTCACTGCTTTAATGATCCTGGGCGCTGGAGGTTCCTTTGTTTTGAAGATGTTCACGCTGTTTGAACACTGTTCTACCAATCTGCTCTTTCTGCTAAACTGCTCCTTTGAGGAGGTCCATGTCTTTAAGCCAGCCACTAGCAAAGCTGGAAATTCGGAAGCCTATGTGATTTGTCTTCGTTATATGGGCAGGGAAAGCATTCATCTGCTACTTTCTAAGATGATACAGAACTTTGGAACAGAAATGGTCAACAAAGCACTTTTTCCCCAGCATACGCTGCCGGAATCTTTTCTTAAAATACATGAAGAGTGTTGCATGTTCTTCCACAAGTGCCAGGTAGAGACTATCTCCGAGAACATCCACCTCTTTGAGCACATGGAAGAAGCCGAGCAGGCGAAACTGAACAAGCTAAGAGACTGTGCAGTAGAGTTCTTCATGCAGAGGTTTCATGTGAAACCTATTGCCAGAAATAACTGGCTTGTCAAGAAATCTCAGACCGGTTGCAGCATGAATGCAAAATGGTTTGGGCAAAGAAACAAATATTTTAGTACGTACAATGAAAGGAAGATGCTGGAAACACTTACCTGGAATGATAAAGTGGCAAAGGGCTATTTTAATCACTGGGCTGAAGAACATAGCTTAAACAATGCTGGTAAAATGTGCATCTTGGAAGGATCATCTTCTAACCTGGAGTGTAGCTTGTGGTACATTTTGGAAGGAAAAAGACTACCGGTGGTAAAATGTTCTCCATTTTGTGATGGTCAAGTCTTGGAGAATCTTAATGAAGCTATGAGAGAATTGGTGGGAGGGGGGCTGAAAAGCAGACAAATGCTGCAGACTTGTCACTCGTGTGAAGTTCTTCCTGGGGCACTTATACTGGCAGAAGTCTCTGAGCTTTCCAGGTGTCACCAGGAAGTCTTGAATGGAAGATGTAGTGAGCAATTCAAGTGCCTTGTGGTGGGCTTTCCATCCCTCTGTGACACCGAAAGCCAACTCAGTATGGAAATAAAGCTTCTGGACTCGGCCACGCTGCTGACTTTCAGCTTCTCTTTGCTTTACGATGGAGAACCAAAGTACCAGCAGCAGCTTTTGGAGTGCGTTCTGCGTGCGTTGAATCAGCTTACAGTGGGGGATGCACTGATTTTGCCTATTCTCTCTTGTTTTACGCGCTTCACAGCTGGCCTGGTCTTCATACTGCACTGCTGTTTCAGGTGCATCACGTTTGCTTGTCCCACCTCCCAGGAGCTGCTAAGGACAAGTGCTGCTTTGCTATGTGTGGGCTACCGAGGCCTCCCAAATCCTGTTGTTGAGTATCTACAGCATCTGAATAAACTAACGAGCTCTTTACTGGATGTGGACTCTCCCCAGCAGGTTTTGCAGTTTGTGCCCATGGAAGTTCTCCTCCGGGGCAAGCTGTTGGAGTTCCTGTGGGATTTGAACACGGCCATCGCCAAGAGACAACTCCACTTGATTGTGCAAGCTAAGCAGCAGCAGATGACTAGTGATATGTCACTTTAAAAACAGTTCTGGGATTGAGCGAGTTGCTGCTGCTAGACCTTGTTTCACAGGCGGGTAGCAGGTGTTAAAAACATTGTTAATGCAAAGGTAATGTTACTGTAAAAGCTCAGTGTGACATCGTTAGCCTTGGGAGGGTGTTTTGAGCTATGGATCCCACTTGCACCACATTGGCCTGTGGTACAGGAACCCGAGACTTCATCTCAGGTGTGGGGGACTTGGGAGGGATGCTGATTGAGGTGGAGAAACTGTTTTTCCTCTCTCTCGGCTCTCCCTGAGCAAATTTCTTCATGTACCTCCTGGGTCAGAGCTGTGACCTTCAGGATGAGAGGTGTTAACAGTGATTTCTACTTGTTGCATAGGGCCAGACAAGGGGGGGACCCCGTTGTGTGACGTCAGCCCTCTTCTGTGGAGCAAGATGGGGGAGCTTGGGCACACATGCATACTTTTCTGGGGTTTGTAGAAGCCAAAATGTGAGGTCTGGGCCTGAACGCTCAATAGTTTGCAAACCTGATGTAAGACTTGAGGGTTGAGCACCTTGTGAGCAGACAGCTGTCTCACAAGGGCTGGGTTAAAAATGACTGCCCCCTAAGCAGTAGCAGAAGTGTCCAGGGAAAGATGCTCTTCAGTTTTAATTTGATTTATGCAAACAGCAGCAGGCTGTATGGGTTTTGACAGGTTATTGTGTGGCTTTGTCTCCCCATCAATGAATGGGGCTGTTACAACTTTATTTTAAAGTGGTCCTTAAAATAATTTGAGACTCCTGAGTGAAAGTGAAGACTTGCATCTATGGCAGTGGCTATTAATGAGGAATGCAAGTGTTTTTCAGGCTAAACACATGATCATGCACAGCTTTGTGTATCAAGAAATGCTTTGGGTACTGCTGGAGGAGCGTTAAGCTGAAGAAATATGTGATAACTTTGGGAAAGTCTGACTAAGATTTCAGTATGTTCTCCTCAGGGATACAAACATTGAAATGGGTAACGGGCTGTTCCTTTAAGGGAGTCACATTTTATTTTCCATAGTGCTCCTTTGAGAGCTAAATTTTGAGGCCCAATTTGTGTGCATTAACATTTAAGTTTGCAGTTTAGATGGAAAAACCTGCTTGGAGGGAGAAATGATCTTTAAAGGAAAAATGGCTTTGCTTGATAATATGTGCAAGGTCTTGTAGAAGAAGGTTGAAGGAGTGGAGTTAAAAGGAAAATATAATCTCCTGATGAATTACCAGTTGCCTTCTGGAAGCACCTCTAATTATATAATGTGGGAGCTTGAAGGATAATTGATTACTGGTAAGGGATTAAAAGCACTGCTGAAAAACTGTTTTGTCTGCAGGTGCTGCACATTTAATAGCCTTTCTTGCCACGTTGATCGGGGCAGAGTGGAATGCATTTAACAGTTCATTTCTTATTTAAGAATTTGATAGGTGAATGAGTTGATGGCTCAGGTCTGACTAATTCATAACATTTTCTAAAAAAATCTAGCTTTTTACAGTTGCAGGTAAATAGAGGCTGCCTAAACAAAAGCTTCTGGGATTGGTCATTGTCCATTTTAATTAATTTAAATGGACTTGCTCTTTTTGCTGTGAGCTGAGTCATGCTTCCACACTCAGACTGGGAAGGAAGGGAACAGATTGGGAGATATAAGCAGTAAGAGCTTCTCCTGTAAATCAGCTTTGAACCTGTAAACTCAAGAGTGCAAGCAGGGCCATGGATGAATTTCATTGAGGAATAAAAAAGAAATACGGAGAACCAGAACAAAGAAGAAATAATGTGGAGGAACAGATGATGAGACAGTATCAAAGATTACCTGTAAAAGCCTGCTTTGCCTGAAAGAAAAAGCAGGATAAAGATATTGTCCACCACGGACAGCCCTCTGTCTCTGCCACGGTTTCAGAGGTGATTAATGCTTCTGAAACTCCCACTCAGCTGAAGCATTTGAAAAGACTTCTCTTAAAGCAGGGGTAAATGAGATATTTCAAGTGCATGGGTGTGCTTATACTCTGCTGTGGAAGCACGAGCAGCCAGAAGCATGTCATCTAGTAGGTACTTAAATAACTTGGGGTTTTTCTTACTAACATTAGTCAAAGATGTTAAAAATTTTAATTTATATGTAACATAAAATCCTGAGGTGACTGACAGGCCATGGGAGAAAATGCATTTAATTTTTCAGGCTTTCTTTGTTTTGTACCTTTGAACTGAGCAGACTTACCTCCTATCCTACTGTTCCCCATATCATCAGTCTCTATTTTTTTTAAATTTATTTTTAGGAGAAAACATTTTAGATGGTTGTGAATCTGTTTGGAAGTACCCCCAAAAAGCTGTATGCAGGCTCTTTGGTGGAAAACCAGATCTCTAAACCAAAGGAAGTCCAATGTCCTGTGGATCCTGGTGCCTGATTTGCTCTGGAACTCTTTTATTGTTGGTAGACATGGGGAGGTGACAGGAGAAATGCTGTGACAGCAACTGTTAAGAATGTGCTTTGAGAGTCTTTTTTTCTTAGTATTGTTGTCTTAAAGGCAGGTGTTTCAAAGTTAGGAATGACACTTGTCCTTTTAATTGTGAGAATCCTGCATTGTCCTGGTTGCCTTTGGACTCAAGACTTCTTTGAGAGAAGTGACACTTAATTTCTGTTGTGACTTTTGGAATATGTAAGAATGGCTGAGAAGAATGCATTAACCTTTGTGGAGAGGGTCTGATGACTCCTGCCTTCATCGAGGCTGTCAGTTTTGGGCCAATTTGATTTGATTTTTGAGTGACACCTGATGAAGTGTCTCTGTATCCTGCCTGCTTTTAAGTTGGGTTTTTTTTTGACATGTTTGAAGATGAACTGTGTATTGGTTTTCATAATTAAGAGCTTCAGGTTTCACATGGGGGGAAATAGAAGGGATGGAGAGTAAAAAGTTCGTTGTGATGCGATCAAGATTGATGCAAACTTGAGGTAAATATAGTTTTGCAGCCCTGCTGCTGCAGATTTCCAATGAAGGACCAATATTTAGGCCCAATGATTATCTGTAAGATACATTATTTCTCTGAAACTTTTTATATCTTTTGTTTTAAGCCAGCATAATCTTTTGAAATCAGTTGCATGAAGGTTGAATGAATTGGGTATTCCACTAAGTGAAAATGCTGATTTATTTTATATAAATTGAGTTCCATTAAAGTTAAGAGACTTGCTCCTTATTTTTACTAATTCTTTATTGTATTTAGATTCACTTGGATGTGCACAGATTATATGTGTTCTTGCCACTGGCTTTCTAATTTAATTTCTGCAAAACATAATGAGATTTACAGTATGAAATCCGGTAGTCTATTAAAGTGGTACTAATTGGTGTCTATTCATCTTAATTTAAGATGGAGCTATCAGATTACTAGTTGTAAAAGTAGAATATGTAGCAGAACTGTATTGTTAGGAAAAGCAACTTGGGACTTAACAGGAAGAGCTGAATATTGCCTGTGTAGGAAGTAGGAGAAAAGGAAAATGCATCTTGATTTCTGGCCGTGCTTTAGGATACAGAGTGACATCGAATCCTTGATTTACTGGGAGCAAGGGTTGACCAGTAAGTCAAAGCCTCAGAGCCTTACAGCCTCCTCTTACCATCCAAAAAAGCCGTCTTTTGATGTCTTTTTAATTTATGGTTGATTTTCAGCATGTTAATTGTGAGTGGGGGAAATCCTGTGTGCCTTGTGGGTATATTACCTTTTGGGCGGTATGAAATGGCTTTTATTGGTACTTGTCCCCATTTCCCACTTGGAAACCAGAGTCTCTAAATTTCAGTTTGTAGCCTTTGAATATCAGGCTTTTATTTTTATTTATTATTTTTTTTAGCATTGTAGTGAGTGAAGACCGAGATCTAGATTTCCCTGCCAAAATCTGGTAATAGCTTTTCCATCACATTCGAGCAACTATTTTCACGAATTCTGTGCTGATATCCTTAGTTCCAGTTCTTCCTGTGCTTCAGTCGCTTCACAGAGGGATGGAATGGAGCTGGTTATGCCAGAAACATGCTCAGCCCGTGCCTCTTCATTGCTTGCTCTTTAGGCAATAATTTGGATGGCTGTCGAGCCCTCTCTTGTGAGCCCTTATGGGTCCAGAGCTGGTTTCAAGTCTTAAGAATGAAATTTGCTAAAAGAATTAGCCAGTGGCTGTAGACTCTTACAACAGGCAGAACCTTTAGGAGACATTTAAATGCAGGTAACTTTGCCACCAGCCAGAAGAAGCTAAAACAGGATGCAGCTGATGGGATTTGCTAGCCTTACCTTGCTAAAAAGTCTTAAAAAAAAGACAACTTTCAGGTATAACCACCTGAACAAGCAGTTCACCAGTTGTGTGCCACCTTCTGTGTACACATGGGTGGGTTTGTGTTTGCACACGTGGAAACCCCCAGGATTGTACCGCTGTGAAGCTTTTGCTCTGTAACTAATCTGTGATTCTGTTTTGAAGGATGAATATATTTTTTTTTCTAAGGAGATGAAGGGATGCTGGTTTAAATGGCTGTTGCATATTTTCAGTTGGTCTGCAAATGAGTGTTAAAAGACCTTTTTTTTTTTTATTAAAAAAAAGGAAAAATAAATGTTATTTGGAGAAAATAAAATATTTTAGGTTTTAAATGCTGCTATTTACATGTTTCTTTACCTGGACATGGAACAAAACAATGAAGCACAATAGGGAGAAGTCTGGGGAGGCTTAATATTTCATGGTTTCAGGCTGTGGTTCCCTCATCTTGCTTTTTGGATCCGTCCTTAATGACCAAAGGATCCAGGGCCTGCTCCCTGTGGGTGGTGTTTGGTTCTTGCACTTTACCTGTCTTTACCTTTGCAGTTTTCCAGCTCAAAGAGAGACTTCGATTGCGGACGTGGCCCAAGCAGTGCGTGGGGGACCTGCACACAGGTCCCTTGGCCTCGTCACCGAGCTGTACAATCTATGTCCCCCTTGTGTGCTTGCTGTAACCTGCTTTAACAGCCAGGATTTTGTCTGGAGGATCTTCAGTTTCTCCCGTCTCTGACAGCCGCTCTGGTAGGACAAGGCTGTTACACGCTGTATTTTTGTCTGCGAAGTCTATTATTCATCCTTAGCCAAATGTTTTCATTCGAAGTGCTTGCCTTTCCTGATTGGAATTAAGAAAAATCTCTGTGCCTCGTTCCTCAGGGCTGGCTCTGCTGGACTGACGAGGGCTCCAGCTGATTGGCTTTGGCTTGGCTGTCCCATTTGTCTTGAGACTTCATCCTAACTAATTTTGATTGCAATTATTAATGCTAATATGTTTTTTTTTTTCCCTCATTGCCTTTCTCTTTGGAAGTGAACTCCAGATTAGAGCACTGGGGAAGATCATTCTGTATCCTAGAGGTATGTGATGACACAAGAAATATATACTGTTTGGATACCTTAATTTCTTTATAGCTCGTAAGGGTGTGTTGGGGAAATCTTTAAGCTGGAAGCGCTGTTGAATGTACGCTGAAGTGCAGGACAGTGCTGTCTCGCTTGATTTCAGTGAAGGTCTAGGCTGTCAGCATTGGCTGTTAATGTCAAAATGTATTTCAGGGGGCAGGAGGACTTTGGAAGGGAATGGTCTTTGAAATGAGGGGCTGGGTTGGAAGAGCCTGTTAGGATTGTCAGGATGATTTTGGTGGAAATGCAGCTTGATGTGGTTTTACGGAATTAGAGGGAAGTGTAAATGCTCAGAATTGTATTCAAACTCATAAACAGGTTTGTGAAATATTTGCATTCCCAATATAACAGTATAAAACGAGGGCCTAAAACCATATGAAATGGGCAGATTAGAAAGTGAAGGGAAAATGTTGATGTCTTCATTCTGCTGCTACAGACCTTAAAAACTGCCTGTGTGACTTCTCCAGTCCTTAAAGTCAATTTATACACTACATTATGTTGATAATAAATCTTATTTGAATTTTGATAGATCTTCATACGCTAGCAGGCCTGCTAGTTTCGGAGTTTAAATAATTGGTGTTGAAAGCTAAGCCAAATCACTGAGCACAAAGCAAATTGGCTCTCTCCCTGGCTGGACAGATATTTAGCAAATCCTCTTTTTACTGTGTTATGTCAGGTCCTCAGCGAGGCTGGGGACATGAAATTGTAATACAACTGGTAATTGTAATTGTAAAAATCCTCTTTTTACTGTGTTATGTCAGGTCCTCAGCGAGGCTGGGGACATGAAATTTTACCTGTAATACAACTGGTATTTGATCTAGTGCATCACAGGTAGTGGCCGCTTTTATTAAAACAATATTTTTTTTTCTGCCACGGGGAACTTGAACACATCTGCTAAAACACATCTTCGTAGTGCTTTATTAAATGAGGTCGACTGTCACTTGTTGGCGGATTGATTTATCTAAATTGGGGGAGAGCAGGGAGAAGTGAGTCAATATTCAAATCTTATTTGTTGCTGAAGGCAGAGATCATTATCTGTGGAGTGAAGAGATGAATGGACGAGCGCTGCCCGATACAAATGAAGGCTCAAGTGGAGGTACCCGTAGGTCCTAAGCTGTCAGGTACCTGTGCCTCCAAACAATTGAGCCAGTTGGTAATGAAACCTCAATTAGACTAAGGAATGAAGGGACTCTGGTGGCGAAGTGCCTTAATTTTAAGTCTCTGGAGAGCTAAGGTGATTAAATACTTGCTTTATAATCAGTCGACTGCCCCAGGTTGATGATGGAGCACAACTCGGCGCTGCTGAGTTGAAATGTAATGAAATCTGTCTTGGGGTCACAATTAAACTCAGCTCCAAGGTGGCTGCTCCCTCTGATAATGCTGCTCTGACAGACGGGTGGGGGGCATGAGGCAGGGCTGGTGCTGCTGGGGACATCCAAATCCATGGTGGGGGGGACATCTGAGCTGCTGAGCTCCCTGCTCTCCTTATTTACTGCTGCAGGGCTGTTGGAAGGTACCCATACCCTGAATAAACTGCTCTGCAAACCCTGTGGATGGTACACAGAGCTCTGCGTGGAGTACTCAGTGGCCTGGGATGTGTTTGGGGTCAGGGTGCCTATGCTGGGGATGGCTGTGGGATTCCCAACTGGTGGAAATGGGGATGTTTGGCAGCAGAGGCTTGCTGTCCCACCTGAAAAGCACACAGCAGCCCTGCACCTTTTGGAACCGGTGTTGAGTGTTAGCACGACCCGATTCCAGTTACCATACTGGGAGGGAGAGGAGAACCAGTTCAAAAGCTTGCCGCTGCCCTGTGGGATCACTGGAGAGGCCAACCCTCAACAAGGGTGAGCTTGCACTTTGCGTGGATATACTGCAGCAGGCTGGGTGTTTAATAACTGTCAGGACTATGGCCTTAACTATAAATCACAAAGTAATTGATTTCAGGATGTTAATGAAATTTAGATTTATAGAGAAGTACAGTTATGCTTAAGATGCACAGTTAATAGCACTGGCACTGAATAAAACCTAAATTGGCTTTGTTTCCATTATGAAACAGGGTAGTATAAGCCCCTAAATTTATATTCATATAAGTGGTTTGGCTCTTTAATTATGTGACTAGTTTTGGGAAAGTTCTGTACTTAAATGCACTTTTCAGACTTGGAAACCTGTTCAGAGCTCTGGATGTTGTCCAGCCTTCTCTGTGGATTGAATATCACTGCTCTGCGTGAGAAAAGGCAGACCAGATCCTCACCGGTGCTCGACTGAACATCTGAGGGGCAGTTTGAGGAGGAAGAGGAGTAAACTCAAGTGTGAAATTCAGTCTCAGTGGGTTACAGGGGGGACAGGAGAGTTGTAGCCCCTTAAGCTGGGTGCTGGGAAGGTGGGGTTTGCTAAAGTGGAGCTGGCACAGAACTTCCAGGCCTTTTTATGTTCCTCTAGTGTCATCCTTAAAAAACAAAACAAAAAAAAAACAAAAAGAAAAGGTGTTTAGCATGTGTAACTTTGGGGATAAGCACATGTACTGGCTGAGAACGTACCTACTTGGGCTTTAATAACAGATTTCACTTGTCACAGGGCTCTTTGCAGTTTTGAAGTGACCCATTTCGCTTCCTGAAGGAAGCTGTGACAGCAGTGGTCTCAGGAGCATGAGTGGAAGTAATGAAGCAGTAATTAGCAATGAATAAAATGTGGGGAACCTTACAATTTTAGTAACTGCTGCCCTGGCCTGGAGGTCTGCTGCTGGAGTGAAGGAGTCCCTTGGAAATCTACAACTCTGAAGCTTAATTATCATAATTTCCTCTAGACACCATCTGTTCTCAGAGCCAACTTGTGTATTTATTCTTCCCCCTGAAGGCAGGCGGGGGTTTAAGGACTCCACTTCTGTGGCTTTTTGCAGGGGGGATGAAATTGAAGCTGGGATTAAGATGGCCTTTGTGGCTGATGCATCAGGCAGAGTCTGGGAGGGGAAGGTAGTGTTAAAATAGCCAGCAGGGTCTTGGAAAGGTATTCAGATCTAGGAGGAACTGGAGAAAACGTGGACAGAACCTTCTCTGTAGTTTGCAGAGGGTTTAGTCTTGTTTCCAGAGGGAGCACAAATGGAGAGTGTGCTGTCTGTGTGTGCTTCTCCTCCCACCTTGACCCCCTTCTGAGCCACGTCGGGATGATGCCAAGTTCTCCTGGATACTGTGATAAGGAAAGGCAGGGATTGCAGAGTAACCCTCCTGAGCTGAAGCTGCCACTGGATTATTAACAGGCGAACCCCAGAGCTGGAGACCAATAACTCTCTTCTGAGGAAGGAGGACACCTGCAGTGGTGGTGATGCCCAGTGGAGAAGCTGCTGGCTCCTCAGATCTGTCGTATCGCTTTGCTTGACCCTCCCTGTGCTGATTTATGCCTCACTGAGTGCTGTGAAGTCAGCTCAGGTCAGAAGCCAAACTACATCACTGCTCCTCGCTCTCCTAAAGAAGAGCCTGAAAAACGGACAGATCAGGAAAACAAATAGCCACCCACCACCTGTCTTCCTTCCCCTCAACCCCCCTGTCTTAATCTTTGATGGCAGGAGCCAAGAGCAAGTCAGAAGAGTCAGGTTATTATTACTTTATTTATTTATTTAGTTTCAGCTGTAGGAATGCCCTCTGGACTTGAACAGAGCAAAGCACTTCTCAAGCAGCAAAGGTGAGAAAATGGGACGTGGGGATTTTGGAAGACGCAAGTGCAATTTTAGACGTCAGTCCTTTCCACTGAAGGGTTGTGTGAAGGATTCAATTTTGTCTTGTGTAAATCAGTTTTAATTAATAGAGCAGATGCACCAACAATGCATCCGGAAATGAAATGGAGGAGAAAAGAGGCAGCTGGTGCTAGTGGATGTAAATATTTGCTTTTTGAGAAGTGGAGCTCTGTGGAAACTTCAGAGATCCCATTTCAAATTCAGAAGCCTATCTCTTTTTGCCTGTGGAGATATATGGAGCAGAAAAAATTAGCTAAACCATAATGCTTTGTTTGACTCTAGCACATGTGATGTAAGACGCAGAAGGTTTTGGAATGGGGCCAAGGCATGAAATCTTGGTTCCTACTGAAATATTAAGGCCTAGCCTCTTGGTGCAAGATGCATTAACTTCAGAGGAGCTGTCTTTGCGCTAAGAAGCCTTCCCAGACTTCTGCAATGGAGTCTTGGGTGATGAGTATGGACAATACGCTCATTTTTGGACCCCTAAAGCAGGAC